GGTTTAGGGTTCAGGTTGAAGTAGAAGAACCCAAAGACCAACCTTGTGGCAGCTTGCGGGTTTAGGGTTTAGGGTTTAGGGTTTAGGGTGTAGGGTTTAGGGTTCATGCGCAAGTTGAAGGATCCTTACGACTCTCTTTTTATCGTGTGACATGCTCAGAAAACCTGACTAAACCTAATCTGGTTGTGATATAATAGGGCATATAGGGGTTATATAGGGGTTATGTAGGGGTTATATTGGGTTTATATTGGGATAGTAGGGCATATAGGGAATATAAGGGTTCTATAGGGGTTACATTGGGTTTATATTGGGATAATGGAAAATAAAATGGAAATTACTATTTAGGGTTTAGGGTTTAGGGTACACCAGAATGATCTCTAGCAAGCTTCCGGACACCATGCAATCAATAGTAAGGGATTGCACTAGTACCCCATGGGGTTTAGGGTTTAGGGTTTAGTACCCCCCACAAAGGTACCCCGCCAGGGTTTAAGGAGCTAATAAGGACCATATAGGGCTGAATAAGGCCTAGTAGGGTTCTACATCTGGAGGGGGTACCTTTGGGGGGGTATTATTGTAATCCGTTTAATAGGGGTGAAGCATGGTCTAGTTGAGCCAGTGGTTCTAAGTGGTCATCAGCGCCAGAACCCCAAACCTAGGAGATTTTGTGGTACCTGCGGACTGAAATGTACACTTTGCGCGGCTCCTGCTCAGGGGCTTTGGCGCTGAGGTGCAGCCGTCTGCAATACAACAACTTATTCGAATTTAGAATTGGAGCTGAAGTATCGGGGAATTGGAGTCTGAAGCTGTATCCTTACATCTAGCTCACACTGTCATGACTTACCGGTTCTTAGTAGGGAATAAGGGAGTACAATCCCTGCAAAATCCCTATACAATATGTTCCCTTTTTCCGTACTATAGCCCCAATATATATCCTATTATAATGTAGTAGCTTCCGTTCTCGTTTCCGTAATCCCTACATAACCCAAAGATGTTCCCAAATTCCTCTACCCTGCTGAGAACCAGTAAGATGATCGTAGATCAGGATCCGAGGGCTGATGGCTTGCCCTCACGAAAATGCTTTTGAGGCCGCTGCAGCCACTGAAAACAAAGAAGAACCGCATAGACCTGGGAAGTGTCCAAACATCCAAGCAGCTGTGCACGCTCTCACTTCACACTGCAAGAGCTAAATCCTGATGATTCAGACACAGCTGCCGTGTGCTCAGGAAGAGCAGGAAAATAACAGTTCTTGGAGCTGCAGAAGATGAGTATTCAGCTGTTGCACCCGAGATGGCTGCTGACATTGTGGTTAATGTACAATCCCAATGGGTGCGGGGCCACTCCACAGTGCAAACTCATCGGGGAATGGCGCATGATGCCACCCCAGAATTCTTGGAAGGTTCTCAACAGCGCAAGATATACCGCAGTATAACGTAGTAGTTTCCATTTTCTGTTCCATTATCGCTATATAACCGCAATATATCGTCCAAAGTCGGTTTTACCAAAAGCCTTGGGTTCCAAATTGAAATCGTCCAGAAGGGCCAACCAAAGGTCAAGGACTTTGGAGGCAACGCACGGACTACTCCAGGCTGGCTATAGGGTTATACAAGCCTATGCAAGGATATTTAAGGTATATATTGGGAACATATATGGTTTTCTAGGGATAATGGAAACTACTATATTATAGTAGGGTATATATTGGGGTTATATACGGGTTATATAGGGATAATGGAAAAGAAAATGGAAACTACTGTTTAGGACGTCGGGTCTAGGGTTCCAATGTTGTTGAGGGACCCTTGCTTCACATGAGCATTTGCGACTTCGGAACATCAAGTACAGGATACAGCCCGCAAGAAAAGCCTTGTTGCATTCCCCCATCTGTATTATGACACTCCTGGCTCTGCAAAAACAAAGAACCATCGAAGCCTGTCATGCAGCCCTTCAGCCTCCGAATGGCAAACCAAATGCTCTGAAAGAAAGCTTGCTGCCAGTTCTCTAAAGTGCGAATCCCTTTTAGAATTTCCTACGGTGCGGCCCGCTTTGAAACACGGCCATAATCTCCAAGGTGCCCAGAGGAAGTCCATGATCTCTGACGGCAGCGCCACCCTGGAAGGAACTTGAGCTGTCTCGCATTCTTTTATGAAGCAGATCCGCCATGCTCTTTGGGCTTGAGGGTTTAGGGGTTTAGGTTAGGGGTTTAGGGTTTAGGGTCATGGGGTATCTACAGCCCCGGACTTTGGGCACTCGGATACGTAGGCAAGAGCAGCTCGATTCTCTGCAGCGTCGTCTGGCTTTGAGCCTATTTCCCTATAATCTCCCTTCAGTAGATAGAAAATGGGGTATATGGAGATCTTAATAACTTAATATAATATACTTCAAGCCATGGTCCATCTACATGAGGGGAACTATATGCAGTTGAAAGTTTGGGTTGGGAGTGCGGTTGAGTGTTCAGGGTTAAGGGCCTCTGCCGCTTCAGGACTCAATGTGGACTATAGTCTAAACTCCTAGTATCCCCCTTAATAAGCCCTACCTAAACCCCAAAAGTATGCAAAATAATAGCCCTAAACCCATAGTAACAGCCATAAAGGCCATTATTTGCATACTTTTGGTGTCCAGGTAGAGTAGTCCCCTATATAATCCACTATATAGCCCCCTTTAAGGAGTTCAGAGTATGGCTCATGTGGCAAGGCCTTTGCCTTATAGCAGCCGCTTCGAGGAATTTTGTGTCTTTGGCGGCGCATGTTGGACAGGGGCTCTTGACCAGGCAACTGTTTACCCAGACCCCTGAGAAGAACTGAAAAGTAACATTCTGAGGATTTAGGGGATTAGAGCCCACAATGACCCCCAAGTAGCCCTCATATGAGCCCTAGTCTAAACTCCTAGTATCCCCCTTACTATCCCCTATAGTAGTCCCTCTAAAATCCTTTTTATAACCCCCCTTTAAGGAGATTAGACTATAGCTCATATACTTCCACACACACTGTTCTGCTGATCTACCTTTGAGTTCCCTCTGAGAGTCTGGATAGGCTTGATCGTTGGCCTCTCACGAATACCTGCAGCATAAGCTTTTTAGGTGTAAGGGTTAAGGGGTTAGGGGCTTGATCTGTCAGACTGTTAGCAGGACCAGTTATAGGAGGGGAGTTTCCAATTGGGTGAGTTTACAGAAAGGGTATCAAACGGGTGTATATCATCCCTGCATGGTAACTCCCCTCCTGAAGTGCTTCAGATGTTAGAATGACATAGATCCACAGGGAAAAGAACATGGAACACTAAAAGGAAACCGGATGAGACGGGGATTATATAGAGAGGGCATGGATAGTCTCAGGACTTCAGCATAGAGAGGTTTAATCCCAGGTGCTTCAGGGGAAGTCAAGGATTTGTCCCTGTGCAAGTCCCGAATACTAGTCTTAAGGCCCTACATCCTAAGCCTGGAAGCCTGAACCCTAACTCCTAGATCTTAAACCCTAAACACAAAAACGCGAGATCCTGGAAATCTGTAACCTTGTAAGCCACGCTCCCTTCTCCCAGCACCCTCTAGAGCACCAGAGGAGATGCGGCCTGCTGGCGTCTACAATTTAGGGTTTATAGGGTTTGTGCTAAACCCTAAACCGTCAACCTTTTCAGTCCCTAAACATCTACAAGAAAGCGCACTTGAAAGGGGGTTACAAGTCCCTGCAACTTATGAATGACAGCTGCCCTAGACTTCTAAGCACAGTTCTATAGCGACCCATAAACTTCCAGGTAGTGTTTAGGGTGGTGGGTGCGGGGAGGGTTTGGGGGTTTAGGGTTTAAGGGACTAAACCCTAAACCCTAAACCCTAAACCCTAATCCCCTAAACCCTAAGCCCTAATCCCCTAAACCCTAATCCCCTAAACCCTAAACCCCTAAACCCTAATCCCTAAACCCTAAGAGGTTTAGGTTGAAGGTTTCGGGCTGAAGCTGTCGCAGGTGAAAACTCTCCAGGCCTAAGCGCTCAGGGCTAAGTGGCTAAGGATTCAAAGTCAGTTTAAACCATGAAGGGTTTAGGGTTTAGGGTTATACTATTGAGGGATAAACTGCTGCGTTACCAAGCCTTCCTATTCCACCATACTGTCGAAGGTTCAGGTACAGGGCGCCATACCCTAAGCCCTAAAACTCTAAGCCCCAAACGCTAAACCATATATGAACACTAAAACCTAAAACTCGAAGCCTTAAACCCTGAGCTCTGTCTCCCCAAACCCTAATTCCCCTAAACCTTAAACCCTAAACCCTGAACCCCTAAACCCCTAAACCCTAAACCCTAATTCCCCCAAACCTTAAACTCGAGATCCCTAAACCCTAAAACCCTCAGACCCTGCACCCTAAGACCCTACCTGGACCCCAAAGGTATGTAGAATAATGGCCTTTTGGGCTATTATTTTGGGTTTTGGGCCATTATTTTACCTACTTTTGGGGTTTAGGTAGACCCAAACAACACCGACCGTATACTGCCTGTTGTTGACATCCTGCCCTATGAGAGCACAGGATGGACTTAGCTTAGTAATACTGGCAAAGAACATGTAAACTACCATAGTATTCAGGGTTTAGGGCGTAGAGTTTAAAGTTTAGGGTTTTGGACAGGTTGATGGATGGAGGGCTGAGGGTTTGGGGCTTGGGGTTTAGGATTTAGGGTTTATTATCTAGAGCTTTTTTACTTAGGAGTTAGGGTAAAGGTTCTAGCATTGACAGTTCAGGGACATGTGCCGCTGTGATCTTATGTCACTCCTCCTCTCACATGGAGGTGGCCTACTTGAGTCGTGCGGGAGAACGGTTTAGGGTTTAGGGTTTAAGGTTCTGATTATGAACAACCCCCAGCTCCTTATCATTCTCTTGTTGTAAGGGGTTTCGGGTGTAGGGTTTAGAAAGATTTTGGTAATGGGGTGTGGGCGTAATTCGTTTTGAGGCTGAGGTTATGCGAGGAAGATCGTGCCAAATACGGCCACCAACGGGAAGCCGTAATCATAGTGAATTTAAACTCCTATACCATACCCCTTCTTGTGGGATACCTAACTTTATGCGTAGTATCTTGGTTATACAAACTCAGGTATGCTAAGAAAGAGGTGTAGAGTATAGAGGTCTAGGTCTCTTGAAGATTCCGACCGCCCTCTTCAAACCATTACCAGACTACTGATTTCCCGGTGAAGTCCTCTCCTCAAACATCTACACTACACCCTGAACCCATGGGTGTAGGGGTTTGGGGGTTTAGGGGCTTAGGGTTTATTGCACTAAAAATCTGGCATGACATGACCTCCATACACTACAGTAACATAAGCCTCAAGCCATATAAGTTCCTTATGGGTCCTGCGTGATTTTTCGTATCCTCCATCGACGGAGAAGGGCTGAGCGCCCGGCAGCAATTCATCTTTTGCCTTTCTCGCCTCCTGCGAGTCAAGTTTAGGATGTAGGCTTCGGAATAGAAGGCTAAAGTTTAGGTTCCCTGATCCATGGTTTGGGGTTTATAGGGTTTGGGGGTAAAGTTTAGCAACTTTAGCTCTAAAGTTGCTAAACTTTACCCCTAAACCCTAAACCCTAAACCATGGATCAGGGAACTCTAGCTGGTTCTTGGAATTGCAGATCACAGAAACCAACAAGTATGTTCGAGTAACTTCCAGCACCTCCAGGCTCTACGTCTGCAAATGAGCGATAGTCTAAACTCCTTAAAGGGTGGTTATACAGGGTTTAGGGTGTAGGATTTAGGGTTTAGGGTTTAGGATTTAGGGTCTAAACTCCTTAAAAGGGGTTATATGGGGGATTATTTAGGGGACTCAAGGGCTTATTAAGGGGGATATTAGGACACTAGGAGTTTAGACTATAGCTCAAATGATTCCTACTATGCCCTTGCAGTCTGCAAGTAGAACCCACTCAGGGCTCAGGGTTTAGTTTAGGGTTTAGGGTTTAGGGTTTAGGTTTGGGGCCCCAAATCCGGTTAGCCATTGCTGCTTCGGAAAGTGCTCGACGCCACTGGCTCTGCACGAGCACAAGGTTGGATGGACTTCCGCCGTTCAATCACTATCTCTACCTAAACCCCAAAAGTATGTGAAATAATAGCCCTGAACCCATAAAAACAGCCATTAAGGCCATTATTTTGCGTACTTTTGGGGTCCAGGTATTGACCATACTTTAGGTGTTTTTGCTCCTCGTGCAAGGGCCTTGCAGCCACAGGTGCGTCCGCGCACTTCGTAATAATGGCGCTTGTCCTGGGTCTTCAGGGAGTCCGGAATTTGGGCGGAGCTGGCTAGCAGCACCCACCCCTGCTTGCGCTCTCGGTTTTCGGCATTTCTAGGCTGCGAGGGGTTTAAGGTTTACGGGTTTAGGAAACTCTAAACCCTCAACCGCGTTGATAACTGCTCTTGCAACCTGATCAATGATCGGCCCCCTAGTCACTTAGCATAGCTCTTTGAGTTTGTATATACAATATACTGTAACTTTATCGTTAGTCCGCTGAATTCGCCTAGATTCTCGCTGGAGAGCCCTAATGAAGGAGCAACCTCAGGGTGGTAGTATAAGTCGTGAGGTGGCAGGGGACCGCATGAGACAATGTCCCGAAAACCCTAGAAAAAAAGGATACGCATAGATGCATATGCCGTCTTAAACCCTTAGCCCAACACGCAAAAACCATAATAAACCCTACAGACAAAATCCTAAACGCCCAACCATACACCGTGAGCTTTACCATGACCTGAAAAGCTTCCCATGCAGAATAAAAATAGCCCAGAACCAAGAAACACTCTTGAGGCTGAGGTAAACGCTAACCCCTAAACCCTGAACCCTAAACCCTAGACCCTAAGCCCTAAACCCCAAACCATAAAACCCAAAACCCTAAGCCCTCAACCCTAAACCCTTAACCCGAAACCCCAAACCCCAAACCCTAAGGCCTAAACCCTAAACCCCAAACCCTAAGCCCTCGACCCTAAACCCTTAACCCGAAACCCTAAACCCCAAACCCTAAGCCCTGAACCCTAAACCCCAAACCCTAAACCCTAAACCCTAAACCCCAAACCCTAAACCCCAATTTCCAAACCCCAAACCCTACGCGACTGGCACCTCGAGGAAGTCTGCCACAGCTGGAGCCGAAGTAAAATCGGGGATCTCCTGGTTTAGGGTTTGGGGTTTAGGGTTTAGGGTTTAGGGGAATTACCTAAGGGTCCAAGGATCCAAATAATAGGGATACCTTTCAAGGGGTTCTAGGGAGATATATAGGGTTTAGCCCAAATAATAAGGTTTAGGGCCCAAATACTATAATATGAATCGTATTTGGGCCCTAAAGCCCTATTACCTGGGACCTTAACCCTAAACCCTAAAACCCTATTATTTGGGTCCTTGGACCCTTAGCGGTTGCTTTTGGGCTTCGGGTTTTGGGCTTGGGGCTCTGGGTTTTATAGTTTAGGGCTTACAGGGGCTAAGGGTTTCGGCTTCAGACTTTAGGGTATATATAGGGTTTCAGGGTTTACGGTATAGGACATGTGGGAGTTTCTCAAAAAAGTACATGTAGTTCTGAAGGCATCTATAGCAAGTAAGGTGAAACATTGCCTAACTTCCAGTTCCCCAAATGGGGCTTCCCTTGCTGCGCCCAAAAAAGCAACATTGTCTCAGGGTGAACCCTACATGTGGGCACTTCGTAAAAGAGGCGCCCTGTTGCCCTTGAAAGGGACTGCTTGTTAGCAAAGTCCTCAATGTATCCCAGGGCCCCAAAGGCACCCCATTTTGGAATCCTGCATTTATGCGGACTGTGAGGAAACTATGGACTATCGCAATCCGTTCAGGCTCACCTTGGTGATATCCCATGTAGGAACTGTGAGGCATGTAGAAGGGGGGGTGCCTAACACCGCATCTCCACCTAAAGCAAAGTACGCGATCTGTTCGACAATATGGACTGCACCTGGGTATCCGAACACCCCGAAATAACATGGTGGTTCCCAACCAACCAATTTCCTGTAGATTATGGTTCTTTACTGGGAAGTCATCGTTTCAGGAGCAACCATTTCATTTCGGGTTGTTTCGGATCCCAGGCCATATGCACAACACCCACGCCCTTGACCAAGCCCTTTTTCTGGATTGCTGCTAAGAAATTCAAATCGAAGTTACCATTGTGGAACACCATTATCTTTGCTCTATACCCATATCATGATACATGGTGTTACTGTAATTCAAATAATCCTGTCATGTTCTGGTCGCATAATCCAAGTTACTGATAAACAGCAACGATTTTTTGGGGGGGAGGGGCACTTGGTGAAATTGTTCTGCCTCCCATGCGTATCTGCTGCTTCTGTTGCCAGAATGACCACTGCCCTCAGGGGCCTCAGAATGTGGGGGACTGGGGAGGGGGGCTTTGGAAAATACAAAATAGATAGCAGTCGATTTGGACGTGGAAATGGGCAGAGGTACAGCTGAGACATATACACAAATAACCATTGCATGAGGTATAATCTACACTCCTAGTATCCCCGCAAATAACGCCTATAATGTTCTCCCATATAATCCTCAAAGTCCTCCGGAATATCGCCTATAATGCTTTCCCAGATAAATCCTCTACATAATCCCTCTTTAAGGAGTTTAGACTACAGCCCTCATGCCCAAGCCAGATCCGACTCCAACTGCAAATCTCAAATCCACAAACCCTTAGCCCTAGTCGCCTAGCCCCTACCTTACCACAGCAGCCTGTGGACGTTTCCCTATATTCATTCCCCCACTCCCCCTCAAGCACCAGTAAGCTCTTTGAAGGCCCAGAAGACTTGGGAGGTGGCTTGCAAACCCCAAAAAACCTAAACAAGCCCTAAGGGTCCAAGGACCCAAATACAAGGGTCCCTTTAAAGGGGTTGTAGGGGGATGTATGGGGACTATATAAGGGTCCAAGGACCCAACTAATAGGGTTTTAGGGCCCAAATACGATAATGTTGATGGTATTTGGGCCCTAAAACCCTATTAGGGTGTCCGCGTGAAATCCTGTATGGTTCCGCAACTGCGGAACGTGTTGGGGATTCCACAAGCGCCTCAGTGACACCTTCACCTTGAGTGTGGCGTCTTGCGTGAAGCAAGAGGGAGCCATCTCGAACTGCTGTGCAAAACCAGAAGATTCGATCTGTATGATCTTCGGCGCGTCGATCAGGTCGATCACGTTAGCATCAACAACATGCGGACCATAGTATCCCCAAATAAAATACTACTCGACTGTACTCTACACCGTTTGATGTAAAAGCCTGAATACTACAAGCCTCATGCGAGCAATAGTCTAAACTCCTAATGTCCCTATAGCAGTCTCCTATATACTCCCCCATATAACCCCCTTTAAGGAGTTAAGACTATAGTTCATGTAAGTGCAGCACAATTTAACCCAAAGCCCTATTCTAGTCATCTAGGCCAACCTCTGTCAGTACAATCTCGGTTTACTATGTTTACTGTTCCAACTCTTTGGGTCACTACGTGCTGAACCTTATGAATTGCTTTAGAATTCTCTCTACAAGCCCTTCAAACCCTATAGAACCCTGCAGGCCCCAACGCTACTTGACCCCTAAACCCTAAACCCTAAACCCTAATCCCTAAACCCTGAATCCCAAGCCCTAAACCCTAATACCTAAACCCTGATCCCGAAGCCCTAACACCTTAACCCTTTTTAGCCGCATCCCCCGCCCTCCCACCTCGCCAACCTCCGCCTTCTGCATGGCCACCACGGTGGCCAAGGCGATCTTTGCTGCTCGGTGTCGCACCCAGCCTAGCACTTATCATGCAACCTTTGGGGTTTAGGGTTTTAGTATTTATCATGCAACCCCCCCTTCGCCGGGCCGCTCAAGCACAAGAATCTGTGAAGGAGTCTACGCAGGTTCTACTTGTGAGGTTTCGGGTTCTATGGAAAGTAATTAGCAAGGGGATCTGGGTATAGGGTTAAGCTTTTAGGTTCGAAAGTCCAGGCTTGGCGTCTACTGGCGTAACGAAGAGGCCTCCGGACCTGGCGCATAGTTGGGTAGTGTGTCCGCGGCCGAGTTGCAAGAGACAACGCCCACGATGTAAAAGGAGTCCTGTAGACATTCCAACAGAACCTCCATCTGGTCGCTCACATAATACTGCTCATTCTGTCGAGCGTGCTCGGCAACTCTGTCACGGCGTCTGCGTAGAGTGTGACGTACGGTTCATGGATGAATTCAAGCTTGACCCTAAGCGTACGGTAATAATACCACAATGCCCGAGGTTTAGGTATGGAGTACCTGTATGCGAGTTTTCAAAATCAACTAAGGGCTCCTGGTGGGGGACCTCATAGTACAGATAACAGTATTCTGGGGTATGCAATTGGTTTTGTGATGACGAAAAGACTTAACTTAAAAACACTTGACCCTAAACCTTAACCCTAAACCACCATTTGCAGTGGGGAACCCCCAACCCTCTAATTAGACTCCTGGTTCTTCAGGCGCCTAAATCCTAAGCCAAAACCCCAACCCCTACGCCGTACGGTGGTAGGTGAGCATTGTGTTGCTGCAGATGCCTTGTTGCCCATGATTGTTTAGCTAAGGTTGGTTTTGCGGGAGCTATGCCTTTCTTGTTTCATGCCTTTATAAGCATTTTATGCCCTACGGTTCTAAGGTCTCATATTTTGAGGCTTTTGGGCCCAGAAACCATACCATGAATGGCTTCTAGGCTATTTTGAGCCTTAGGGATAAACATGAAGGGGGTAATAGTCTGAAAGAAGTATTATGAAACCAAGCCCTGTCAGGGTGCAGGATATTGAGTTTCAGGGCATGCCTCGGCCACAAGAAAAAAATATCATATGAGACCTGGATTAAAGTTATTGTATATTTCAATAAGGCCCCCTATACATCACCCTATGTTTAGGGTTGAGGGTTTTTAGGGTTGAGGGGTTAGGCCCCCCCACCCCACCCTAACTTAAGTCCGTAGCTCATGTAGAGGGATGTATATATGAGCTATAGTCTAAACTTCTAGTATCCCCGTTAACAACCCTATATAATCCCCTATATAACCCCTTCAAGGAGTTTAGACCCTAAACCCTGTATCCTAAACCCTAAATGCTAGACGCTGAATCCTAGACCCTGTATAACCTCCTGCAAACTGAAGGTCTCCTGTTTCTACGGTAGGACTTCGGGTTCAGGATTTAGGGGTTAGGGCTGAGGGTTAGGGAAGAGGGTTTAGGGGTTGAGGGGTTTAGAGGGTTTAGGGTTGAGAGCTTGGGGGTTCAGGGTTTAGCGGTTTAGGGTTTCGGGTGGTAGGGCTTAGGGAGTACAACTGCAGTCAGAAGCAGTGTTGTTGAGGTTCACACCCTCAACACGATTTCGACCAAAAATCCTGAGGCGGCCACTAGAACCTGGAGCGGTAGTGCCATATAGCCCTAGATTCCGTGGCGGTACACAGATAAAGAACTAGCTACTTCCACGCAAGGCCCACTTTAGCTTCTGGCCAGAGGAAGGTCGACCCTAAGCCAAGAACCTGAAACCCTAAATCAGAGGGATTTAGGGATTTAGGGATTTAGGGTTTAGGGATTTAGGGTTTAGGGATTTAGGGTTTAGGGATTTAGGATTTAGGGATTTAGGGTTTAGTGTTTTTAGGGTTTAGGGATTACCCTGAGGCGCCTACGACTATTAGGAGCTTTCTGGGAGAATGTTGGGGTTTTGAGGGCTAAGGTTTGGGATTCCATTATGACATGAGGGTCCAAGAGTTTTTTAGGGTAAACCCCTAAACCCTAAATCCTAAACCCTAAACCCCTAAACCCTAAGCCCTAAACCCTAAACCTATGCATCTGAGGCCCGCGCCTTTCATCCCTACACCAATCCCCCACAGGGACAGTGCCGGAGAAATGGCAATGGTGAAACACTCCTCGGGGGTAGTTTCGAATAATTTCAGTTCCCAATTTGAGGCCCCTAAGCCCTAAACCCTAAACCCCTAAACCCTATATAAACCACCATGTGGGGTGAGGTGGAATGAGGTCGCTTTAAGTTGCCCGGAGACTTCTGCGTTCCGCGTTAAGGGTGAACCTTGGCGTGGTGGTGGGTGGGGGGGGGTTTAAGAGCTTAGGATTGAGGGTTTTGGATTTAGGGTTTCGGGTTTAGGATTTTAGGGTTTAGGGTTTTATTGTCTAGGGTTTAGGATTTAAAATTTAGGCCTTAGGGTCTAGGGCTTGGACTGTAGGCCAGAAATGTATAAACTTAGACTTTCTGTTGTAAGAGCATGATCGGATACCCAAGTGTAGATATCCGGATATTAATCTTTTCACGTATATAAATGGGAGTCATTCTTTATAACAAGTCTGCAACATCCACAGGTCTTGCAAAACGACCCCTAATGTTCCTGGCAACATCTCTGCATCCCATAGACGATTACCCTAAACCCTAAACCCTAATTACCTGACATACCTTTCATACGGAAACTTCTTCATGACCTTGAGCTTACTTCCCCAAGGTATAAGGTACTGGGTTTAGGGTTTAGAGTTTAGGGCATGTAGGATTTTAATATCCACCGTGGGGTATTCCAGGGCTGGGGCTAAGTGTAGGATTTCCGAAAGAGCACTTGCAATGCCTGATGGGAGGATTCCATGGAGACCTCTGGTCGCATTGAAGGGGATTGTAGCAGGTCCTTTCTAAGCACTCTATGAGGCACCCTAAACCCTAACCCCCTAAACCCTCAACCCTAAACCTCTATAAGGGTGAGGTATATCCCCGAATAAGTACCAATATAATGCCACTGAACTCCATGCAGACATACCACAGAATGGAGGAAACATAGCTATAAGGCAGTATGACTGTAGTTATGGTCACCCGATCCCCTGAGCCCAGAACCCTCCAACCCTTCTTTTTTCTCTTAAATGCCGCAACGCGCCTGACCACTTTGGGTCGGGCAAGGCTTTAAAACGCAACAGGTGCAGCTGGATGCTGTCCAGAAGGTCCTCTCAAAGGGGTTTATAGGGGTTAAAGGGATACGTGGGATTTAGTTTAGGGAGTTGGGTTTGGAATTTGGGTTGTTTTGAAAGATGCTTGTGAAGAACGGACCTCTGCGAGTACAATTCCTTAAAGGGGGGTCCTGACCCAAAAGGGAATCCACCTGATAGCCGTTTTGGGGACGGGAATGGTAGATCCCAGAAATGAGGGGACACCAGTATAAACCCCAACACACGATAATCCTCATTATAGGCAACCACAGGCAGAAGGGTACCCCCCCAATTTTGGCAAACCTTCGAATTTCGAAGCATTACCAGCCTTCAGTGTAGCACGCATGTCGCATGGTGTAAGATCTCCCAAGAATTCATCAAGCGCGAAACCCACCTACCTTAGTTAGGGTTTAGGGTTTACGGTTCAGAGTTCAGGGTTTAGAAACCTTAAGCCTAGCATCTGTTGGGCTCCCATGTAAGGTTTTGCGTTTTAGGGTGTAGTTTGGGTACTGCCCCCTGCCCAGTAACAGTCTATATTAGGGGTCCTATTAAAGGCTATATATACCTATATTATAGTTATTATCCAACTGTTACTGAGGGGGGGCCAGTAC